TAAGCGCGGCCGCGGGCGTTTGCCTTTTTCCCTTTGCTTCCCCTATTCTCTCTCATCACGATGTAAAACTCTCTCAGACGAAGAGACGTCAGGGAGAGAGGAACAGAGGAACAGAGATCTGCTGTCAAACACTGATAACTGTGGACTGTGGTTCTGTGCGCTTTGGCCTTTTGCCAAAGCGCTTTGCGCGTCAAAGGGACAAAAGCACAAAAACCCGGTCGGGCGCGCCGGTCGGCACTTAGCCACTGCGCCCACGTGCCACGACGCACGAGCACGACTGGGGCGTCCTCTCCGAATCTGCGTTGGAACGATCCCCGTTGGTAACGAACCGCGGCAAACCTGGCACAATGGACAATCTCGCACAGACACACAAGCGTCACTCTCCAAGCGCCTCGCGGCGCCCCGCCCGGTATAACATAGCACGACATGGTTGTGGGACCGCGATCTCGGCCAGACCTCCTCTGCGGACTGAGCATCACAAGTGTGCACGGCGCAACAGCCTGGCCCGCGGCCCAAGGCGCCAGCGGGGTACTTCTCTTCCCGTGGCGCCAGCGGGAAGAGAAAAATAGATGAATTCGCAGCCAGCCACTGCGAGGCGCCTCAATAAAACAGGAAGGAGAAGCAGATGATGGCGTACGAGAAGAGAAGCATGGCGCCTTCGAGCCAGTTGGTCTCGCCGTTCTGCACCACCATGAAGACGAGGTTGGTGGAGAGGAATGTGACTGCTGTCGGGAAGGGGCCAAAGAAGAGATCGAGGGGCTGCTGGATGACCCAGCCGATGACCACCATCACCGGGATGACGAAGAGGGCGATCTGCGTCGACGAGCCGAGCGCCACCCCGAGCGCGAGGTCCATCTTCTGCTTGTACGCACACACGATGGCGGTGGAGTGCTCGGCCGCGTTGCCGACGATGGGGAGCAAGCAGAAGCCGACGAAGGCCTGCGGCAACCCCCACGCCGCGGCGGCGGGCTCGAGGGCGCCGGTGAGCTCCTCCGAGAGGAAAGCGATCGCCACGGTGGCGATGCCGAGCCAGAGCAGCCCGCCCGAGAAGGAGAGGAGCACCTCGTCCTCCTCGTCCTCCTCGTCCTCCTCGGGCTCCTGGTCCTGCAGCGACTTGTCGCCCTCGAGCGGCGCCTCGAAGAGGAAGTGGTGCGTGAAGAGCTGGAAGTAGATGTAGAGCAGGTAGAGCAGCAGCAGCCCGATCGAGATGCCGTGCGACAGAGGCTGCATAAAGTCCATGTCGTCCTTGGCGTAGTGCATGATGGTCGGCAGCAGCAGTCCGAGCACTGCAATCTGCAGCAGCGCAGCGTTCGAGATGGCCGCCACCTGAAGGTGGGCGGGCAGTCGCTCACGGGAACGTCGCTGCAGCCGGCTGCCGGAGGGCTGAGAGCGCCGTATTGAAGCGCGGCGCCGGCGTGACGACGCCGCCCGCGAGGCAGGCGCAGCCGAGTACGAGCAGGGTGTTTGAGAGGATCGAGCCGAGGAGGGAGGTTTGGACCACGGCGAGGAGGCCCCGGTTGAGCGCGCAGATCGCGACGATGAGCTCAGTCGCATTGCCGAACGTCGCGTTGAGCAGCCCGCTGAGGGTCTCGTTGGTGTGGAGCGCAACCTGCTCGGTCGCATCGCCGAGGAGGGCGGCGAGCGGCAGGATGCCAAAGCAGCAGAGCCCGAACACGACGCCGTCCGAGCAGCCAAGCGGCTTTGCGGCCAGCGCCACAGGCACGGCCACGAGCAGCACGTACAGCCTGTTTCCCGCCAACATGCGGCGCGAGCCGTCAAGCAGCGCAGGAGGCGGCACCACGAGCTCGGCGGCGGCGTATGAATTCTGCTGCTCGGGCTCCATGACCGATGGGATCGACTTCAGCATCGGCGGTCTGGAGCCACGCGAGATTGCCGTGACCGTGCGCACAAGCAGCAGCGTGCCGCGCGAGCGGAGGCGCTTGCGTGGCGAGAGGATGCTTGGCTGCCGAGTCGTTCGCGCAGCCTCGGCGAGGTCCGACGGGTGAAGCAAGTTCTCCTCCAAATTTCTCGAGCCGCTGAGATCGGCGAGGGACGACATCGTGGCACCGAGCCGAGCGGAGCCGAGGTGAGCGCGGGTGTCGGCCGTCAATCGCGAAAATCGAAAAAAAATTCGCGCGGCATATCTTGTCATCAGCCCCCGTTCCCTTCTTTAACGGGAAAAGAAAAAGAAATTTTTCCATGCTCACGCTCCTCGCTCTCGGCCTCCAGGCGCCCGTGGCGGGCTACGATGCGCGGCGCGGCATCAAAATCGTGCAGGAGCTCGCGTCTCGCAGCGTAGGAGGCCCGTTGCCAAGCTCAGGCACGGCCGACTTGAAGAAGAGTATCCTCGCACTCCTCGAGCCGTTTGGGGACCCAGCCCTCCGGGTGCCGGACACGGAGTTCCGGTTGATCGACGAGCAGTGCCGGCTTCTCGAGGCGCGCAACCCTGCGCGTGGCGCCGACGCGCTAGAGGCGCTGCAGGGTTGCTGGAAGGTGCGCTACAGCAACGCGCCGCCTCCCAGCAACGGGGCGCTCGGCCCCGTGCGCGGCGCGGCCTTCCAGCGCGTCGACGTGCCGAGCCGGACGTACACAAACGAGCTCTCGCTCCTTGGGGCGGCCCTCTTTGTCCAGTTGACCGCCACCTTTGAGCCGAGGGGGCCTCTCGCGCTGCGCGTCGCCTTCCAGACAATCACCTTCTCCATCCTCGGCCTCCGCCTCCCGCCCGTCGCCTTCCCGCCGGGAACGGAGCGGACGTGGCTCCTGACGTACACGGACGAAGACACGCGCCTTGTCCGCGCGGGTGTCGACGGCGGCCGCTCCACCGCTCGCGACCTCGGCCTGCTCTCGCGCGAGGAGGGCGAGGCAGCCGACTCGTACCTCTTTGTGCTCACGCGCGCCACGCCTTCGGAGTCCTCGCGGGCCCCCGCTGGCCTCCCCTCCCCGCTCGCACCGCTCGCGCGCGCCGCAGAGCGCAGGCGGCTCAAGGCGCAGCTGCTCGAGGCATGCGGCGGGCAGTCGCTCGGCGCCGAAGCCGGGGCAGAGGACCTTCGGCGCGTGCGCGACCTTTCGGACCGGCTGGCGGCTCTCACCCCGACGGCCGACCCGGCGAGCTCCCCGCTCCTCTGCGGCACGTGGGATATTATCTGGACGACGGAGAGCGAACTGCTCGCACTGACGAAGCGCGGCCTCCTCGGTCTGCCTTGCACCGCGGCATACCAAGCCATCGCACGCACGAGGGAGGGCGGCGCGGGCCCGTGGGCGTATTCCCTCGACAACGCAATCGAGTTCGACGGCGGCTTCCTTCGCGTCGGCTCCACGTGCGAGCCGGCGGCGAGCGGCGGGCGCGTCAATTTCGTTTTTCAGAGCTGCGCTGCAAGGTGGCGTGCGCTCGAGCTGCCGCTGCCGCCCGTTGGCTCTGGGTGGTTCGACGTGCTGTACGTCGACGAGGAGCTGCGGGTGTGCAGAGACAGCCGCGGAGACCTGCAGGTCTGCGCCCGGCGAAAGTGAGAGTCTGAGAGGGGACAGAAGCGAGCTCGCCGGCGGCTATCCACACAGTGCCAGACAGAGTACGTATCTCCCACGGAAGGGAGCAGGCCCCGTTGCTGGCAGCTGGTTGCTGGCCACCGTAGTCAATTTTATTTACGACTGGTCGTTCGTCACTCACTCACGCCACTAGTTCTACGCTGTCGAGATGCGAGGTGTGGTGTCTCGCGCGCGCGGTGGTGCGGTGGGCGGACCCCCCGCGGTCGACCGGCCCAGCGAAGAGACGCCCGGCGCACCGGTGGCCGGCCCCTGGAGCCTGGCCCGTGGCCGGGTGGGGGGTGACGGGTGTGTTGCTGTCGTTGGGCTGTTGCGCGGTCTGGCTGTCAGGGGTGTCGTCTCCGCGCCCCGCCCCGCGGCCCCGCCCGCGTATGGGGCCGGACCCATCCACTCCCCGCAGCCGCACGCGCACCCATCCGTGCTCCATCACAATGCTGCTCCGAAAAGGAGGCACTACTACATGCAGTGCATTCGATCAAATGTCAACTACTTCTCCGCGCCGTTCTGGCTTCTGCGCGCAGCTCTCACCGTGCTCAAGGTGTACGCGGCTGCCGGGCGAGGTTGTGTTCCACCACCCAATCCTGGTCAAAGTGAAAGAGGGCGTCGGTGCACACTTCGCGCGCGAGACGCTCGTAGTCGGGGACCCATTCCTCCACCCACGCCCAACTGCGGTGCTTCCGCCCGCCGCGGGCCGCGGGCGTCGCGTTTGCTGCGAGCGCCTCCCGCAACACAGCCACGGGGAAACGCAAGCTACTTAGCGAGCCCAGCGGCGCCATACCGAGCGCCGCGCGAGTCACATCTGCGACGGCAATCTCGGCGACCGCGCCGTCGTCCGCGCCCGCAAAGGAGTCTGCGTTGACCCGTATTAGTCGCGCGCCTGACGCTCGCTGAGCGCAGGGGAGGGTGGTTTCAGTGCACAAGCGAGAGCGTCATGCGTGCACAGGGGAGTTTAGGTGGGACCGTGAGTGCCATGGCGTGCATGGAAAGAACGTCGACAGCGCGGCAGAAGTGTTATCGGAGAGCATTGATTGGTACCTGGCTGCTTAGGTGCCTGCTTGCCACTTCGGCGTCGGCGAGGAGGGGGGGGCATCGCTCGCCAAGCACCCTCCGGATCTCGCGCCTCAAGCTCTGCACGCGCTCGCCGCGAGTCACGGCTGGTCGGAACCAGTCGTCAAGGTCCGCGTCCCGCGACTTGTGGTGGAAGTGTGGCAGCTGTGGGGAGGGCGTGAGGGTGAGAGGAAGAGGTGCGATGGAGCGGGAAGAGGTGCGAGGTGAAGGGAGGCGGCGGAGGAGCCTTGTGGCCTTGGGGAGCTCTGGCAACGGCCTACGACTCTCACGTATGTGGCCCGGGCGTGTCGCCTGCGGCCGGAGAAAGTCCCAGACGAGCTCGCTGGCAAGCACGGCGCGCACGTCGCGCACAATACTCACGATTGCGGCGGATGGCCGGCTCTGAAAGTAGGACAGCAGGTCCGGCAGGCGGCCGTCCAGGTGGATGGACTTGAGGCCGACGGTGGGCGAGGACTCGCACTGCCGCTGCACCGCATTGCAGCCTGTTGGGGGAGGGGCGCATAGGCAGAGGGGCGTCGGATGTTTCCTTCTAACTCCTCTTCTGGCTCAGGCCGAGGAGTATGCAGGCGTTGGCACCTGCTCCGGTGCAATGTTCCCACGATGCAGAGCAGTGGCAGCCCAAAGCGTCACATGAGGGACCATCCTCCCAACTGAGCTCCCCAAGTGCCTCCCATGTCACAAAGGCGTCCGCATCGCACCGCAGCAGTGCCTCGAATCGACGGTAGTCGCATCGGCCGACAGGTGAGTCGCCTCGGACCCTTGCGTCTGGCTCAAAGAAGAATGTGCAGCTCGGGTCGACGTCGCAGATTAGGCGGGAAAGGGAGGTGGTGGCTGCGTGCATCGTTCCAAACATGAGCAGCTGCTGACGCCGCGGCGAGACGCCCGAACGCGCAGCGAGCGCGGCACACTCACGTCGCTCGGCGAGCGAAATGGCAGCCGTTGCCAGGGCCCAGTTTAAGGCAGCGGCGGCCACGGCCGTAATTAGACAGGTGGCGGCCGTGCGCCAGCGGCTCGGCGCGGCAGGAGGGTGCTGGCACTCGTCGCCCCGCTCGCTGGTCACCAGCACGGCAAAGTTCGGCTGCATGTGTTGCGCTGGACTGCGGCGGGCACCGGCGGGCGATACGATTTTTGATTTGTTAGTTATTCTGTCGGAATCGTTGTTCGCAGACGAAAAAGAATGCCATGCTCCGAGAGTTCTTTTTTTAGAGGAGATCTCAGATGTAAGTCATGGGCTGTTACTGTACTCTGCAGTTGGTCAGTTAGCGTGCTTGCTTTGATGAGGATGAGCTTGAGGCAGCGTAACAATGCCCTGATGGGCAGGCCCTTCGACACCAATTGCAATTCATCTCGTATTGGTTCTGCTTGTTCGCCAGCCGCACAGTGTGCCCTCCGGCCCATCGTCGACGATGAAGAGGAAGCACGGGTAGTCGGTGCCAAGGTAGAACACGAGCCCAAGCACGAAACCCAGCAGCGCAAATGTCAGCATTGCCGCTGTGGCACGCGTGAGAATTGGCAGGCACACAGAGGGGCGCGCCACGATGCCGCCCGGGAAGTAAAGGTGACGCCGAAGGTCCGACAGTCTGCGCGAGCCACGTGATTGATGACGTACGCCAGCACCATCGCTGACACGGTAAAATTATCCTTGATCGCCCACGCGAGCCAGTGCAATGGCGTGTTCCTAACGTTGCACCACGGGCCCTTTGGTCCCGTTGCATGGTGCACGTTGCAGTGCGCCGAGCCACCCGCCCATGGCCACGTGCAGTGACAGCGGAAGAGCAGCCCGCAGTATGGGTTGTGCAGCGCCCAATCAAACAGCCGACGGGGGTGCTCTCCGGCCGCGGCGGCCGAAAACGGGGACCTCTAGTACGGTCTAGTAATGAAGTGATCCACTTGATCCAAGGGTGCCATTGTGCTCTACTACAAAAGTTGTGTAAGATGCCCAAGTCTCAGACGCTGGATCCTTAGCGGAGCTGAGTTCTGACGGTGTGACCACGAGCAACCGGAGTGACGACCGGGACCGGGCCGCACGCCGGGAGTGCCCCGACTAGGTAGCAGTGACGGGCGCGGACGAGCGAATGAGAGGTCGCTATCTGTGCACTGTGGGAGATGTGTTATTAGAGACTAGGACTGACTATCTCTCACTGAAAGGAACCTCTCATTCGCTCGTGCCTCGTCCGCACCCCCGTCACCGCTCACGGAGTGCTCCTCACCGTCACCGCTCACCGCTCACACCGTTCCGTCACGGCGACCGCTCACGGTAACGGACGGAACAGTGTTACTACTCCGCAACGTTGAGCTGGATCAAACTGAATAGTGCTCCTGAAAGCCCTCTCTCTGGGCTCTGCCACACAGTAGCAGCTCACAACTAGCAGCTGGTGTGGCTGTATTTGTAGCCATTTTTAGGCTTCAACTGGTCCCAAAATAGTAGCAACACCTCATGAAAATCAGTCAAAAAAGCCCCAAACAAAAAATCGGCGCCTGCGGCGGGCCTCCTGCGGCGGGCCTCCTGGGGCGGCGCCCCAGACCCCCTTGACTGGGGGGACCCCCCCCCGAGAGCCCCTGCCGGACTACCCTGAAAAGAAACAACAACTCCCTCATCGCAGATGTGTGTGTGTCGGGGGACGTCGTAACAGCCCTGTGTCGAACGCCAGGGCCCGCGCCCGATATTGTGCTCGTTGAAGACGAGAACGCTGAAGATGCCCGAGGTCGTCCCGTCAATGATAGAGCTAACCGAATCGCTTGCGGCCACCAAGGCCGCACTTGTCGATGCCAACGAAAGGGCGCGGCGTGAGCAGAGTCGGGCTCAGGAGGCGGTGAGACAGGGGTCAGCGTCTCAGGAGGCCGCAGCATTGGCGAGGCATTCTTCGGCAAACTGGACAGCCCTCCGGAGGCTAAGCATCCAAACGTCGCCGGACCTTGAGGCGGCCCCGCACGGCCTCCTGGGAGAGGTCGAGGGGCTCCGCTCAGAGGTGATGGCACGCAGGCACCTGGAGCAGACTTTGCGGCAGCGCTCTGCCGTGCTGCGCTCCTCCTTGATGCTGGCCAGGCAGGGTGCAAAGCTGGACAAGGCGGAGTGCACAGCAAAGGTGCAGCAGTCGGTCAGCGACCTCCACGACGCAGAGGCGCGCGCTGCTCTACTTGCAGAGTTGCTATCTGAAGCCCGAGCATCTTCGGCCAGTGAGTGGCGTTCGAGGGCGGCTGTGCTCTTGGCAGAGAATCAAAAGCTCAAAGAACGGGAGGCTGCCGTCGAGGCACGAGAGGCCGCGTTGGCTGGCGAGCGGCGCAACCTCGAGGACCGCCATGCGAAAGACACGCGCAAGGTTGGCGTTTTGACAAACAAGGTCCGCCACCTGACCTTACAGCTACAGGGCGCCAGAAGAAGCGTGGCCCAAGAGGAGCAGCGGGCGCGAGAGCTCAAGACCAAGCTGGCCAAGAGAGCGCTCCGACCACCGGCAGCGGCACCGGCTGCGAGTCAGCGGCCCAAGTCGGCGGACCCGGTCCGGGGTGGCAGAGCGTTCCGTTCGCCCAACACCACTATTTCCAGCTTGCACGAAGTCTCGACATCATCACCGCCCAAGCGCCGAGCTCCGTATGCCGAGCTTTCGCCAGAGGCGCGAACTCCGCGTCAGGTGCCAGTGCCACATGCAGTGCCGCCCGAGTATGTGGCGAACTTGCAGGAGCAGGTCCACTACCTTGAGC